CCTCCTCACCCCCCTCAGCATGAGCAGGACAAAAGGGAAGGAACCCCATGAGAGTTTCATTCGCTTTCCTTTCTGCCTTTTTTTTTTGCCCCCTTTCCAAGGTCAGAAAAGGCTTGAATGATCTGACGATGGGCTAACGTCCAAAAAAATGGGGGATGGAAGGAAAAGAAAGAGTATTAAATTTTTTTTTTCCCCATCAAAAAAGACTTCAAAATCCCCATAGAAGGGAAAATAAATGGCGAGTCCACAGTTGACTGGACATGTATAGCGCGGCATTTGCTTGTAATGGCAGCTTGAGCTTATTGACAGTCCCAGCCCAAACATGTCAAAGGTTAAGAGATCTCCCCAACTGCAAGTGGGAAGCCAAAAGCACCTTTTTCATGAGCTCAATGGGGCCATCAGTTGATACTTGCATAGCAGAACACACTGAAGAAGGGCCCTTCACTCTCCCAATGCCACTAAAGAGCAAACAGCTAATTGGACTCCAGTGTTTCTTCTTTTGATATCATTTAAAAGACTTGCATTTTGTGCCGTTAGCTTGTGGACTCTTGGGAAGAAAAATGCCATAAGCCGTAAACCGCAGCCTTGAGGACACTTCTCTCTTACTCATGCACTTCAATAAGCTACTAAACATGTTTTTAGAGTTATAATTACCCCCATACCACACTTCAAAAAAAGGATTAATAGAACAATAGGGAGGCTCCACGCAGACGAAGACAAAACATTAACACAATAGCCCATTTTTGATTCCATTTGTCATTTGTTGTTGAAAAATACTACAACTCCAAAAAAGAATAGTTTGGGATTTGTTGCATGCATAGAAACAAATTAGAATACAACTCACTATTATGATGAATGTAGTTGCTGTCGTTATTGGGAGCCCTGCACTTGTTTCTCTTCAATGAGCCAATTCCATCTTGGGGTAACGGGAGACAATCACACACCTAGTGTGTTCCTTATATTCAGTCCGTTATTTTTTTCGTGGTCTCCCTCCCAAAGACAGGATGTTGGAAATGGAAGCAAGGCAATGGGTCTTGACTGTAATCTGAAGTAGATTTGAAGGCTTCATTGCCTCATTTTGCACATATGAGACAGAGTAAGCTTCTTTGTCTCGGGACTTATAAGGGCTGTTCTTCTGTCGCATCATTTGGCCTTTTTCCACTGATGAGGAAACTCAAAAAATGGAGCTCTGTGGATGGGGAACGCTGAAATAGAGGCTACCAGTTGAGGTGATTCTCAAACTTGTTAGGCCAAGGATCACCTAAAAATACTTAAGCGCCACAATCATGACCAACATTAAAATACGATAGTAGTAGATCGGTCGCGGGTGAGCTGTAGCCTTTCTCAGCTGACTTGAAGTGAGAGGTGGGGGTATTCCCCGGTCTGGTCCACCAACCACATTCACACCTATGGACAATTTAGCATCTTCAATAAACCTCAATTACCGTTTTTTCCGCAGCATTCAATTTTCTCAAAAGCCGACAGTGCGCTTTATACCCCGATGCGCCTTATATATTCGTATAGCTGGTGAGAGTCTGAGTCGTGTTGAAGCTGTTGAACGTCAAGGTGGAAACGTTGAAAGCAAAATCTAGATTATGACAAACACGCTTCCTACACTCCTGTGTGTGGGACGTCCGAGCAGCAATTACCGCTGGCAGCACTTTCAGGCACCAGCGGATTTCATTGGCCTGGACTAATCCCCCATAAATCCTTGCAGGGCTCCAATCGCCAGCCGGGCCTCAGATAATTGCTTAGGAGTCTCGCACGCTCCAGGTGCCACCAGAGCACACCCGGTGTTTGTAAACACAGCTCGTAAAGAGAAAAAAAAAGAAGAAGAAGGAAAGAGGAGTGCTGCCATCAAAGTGTGAAGTGAGAGGATCAGAGGCAGCGAAGGAATGATGGGGGTGCAGCTGGATGCCCTACCTGGACGGACTAATGGGGTCTTCCCTGGTCTCATGCAGCTGGAGCTAGTCGAGACCAAAGACACTCAACAGGAACTCCATGTGTTTGTTTACTTTGTCGTTTTTTTTTTTTTTTCCTGCTTTGGACTCTTTGTACTCGGTGGTGTCTGCGGGATGATCTCACCCGGCAGACATGACATGCGCCAAACGGGACGGTTGAACTTTCAGCGCGACGGGAGAAGCGCATTCTTTTCTTGGCATATACAGTACGATGGCTGTGCTGAACATTATTTCCAGACTTTACGGTAGTAAAATAACAGACTTTTCACTCAGAATGAGAAGAACATTGCAATAGGGTGACTTTATTTGAGTAAGAAAGAGTTTGCACCAAATCTGATTAAATAATCTTTGTCTTCAGACATGGTGAAACAGCATGTGGCGAATTGTTGACGTTTATTTCTGTACACTGCATTCCAAGTGAACTGCAAACAGTTGTATAACTTTGATCCCACTCAAATGTTCGGCGTTTAAATCTCGGAGAGGCTATTCTGATATCCTGCAAAGAAAATAACGCAGAAAGTCTCTAAAAAAAAAAAATCCAACAGATGCAGGAATTGTGATCTTGACCTGTTAAGACGTTTTGGATTGAAATCGAATCACTTTTGATTTTGTTAAATATGACCTCCACCCAAAACGATTTTCAATTATTGACAAACTATAAATATGTTTCGAAACTCTGTTGCACATGATAATTTGGAAGAGTGCAATCTAATGTTCTTATGTCCCTAAAAATAAATAAATAAAACAAATAAATAAATAAATAGGGGCCACAATCATTGGTAGGTTTGTTCAAAAGCATTTGAATAGTAACGCAGGGATGTGCAACTGGTGATCCGTTAAATTTAAAAAAACAAACAAAATTGTAATGTACAAACCCCCCAAATTCTTTTAAAAAAAAAACCCAAAATACAATAGAAGTTTTCCACAAACAATGGAGGACAAAATTCGAAATATGAAAAAAAAAAAAACAGTGATGATGCAAATCCACAGGCGCCAACCTGCTAATATGTATGGGTCGACTATAGTTATATGTTGTAATATCGCTAATCACCACCAGATGGAGTGGCACGGAGATCAACTGGTTAGCACGTCCGCCTCACAGTGCAGAGGTGCAGGGTTCGATTCCGGCCGCGGCCTCTCTGTGTGGAGTTTGCATGTTCTCCCCGGATCGGCGTGGGTTTTCTCCGGTTTCCTCCCACATTCCAAAAACATGCATGGCAGGCTGATCGAAAACTCCAAATTGTCCCTAGGTGTGAGTGTGAGCGCGGATGGTTGTTCGTCTCTGTGTGCCCTGCGATTGGCTGGCAACCGGTTCAGGGTGTCCCCCGCCTACTGCCCGAAGACGGCTGGGATAGGCTCCAGCACCCCCCGCGACCCTTATGAGGAAAAGCGGATCGGAAAATGAATGAATGAATGACATTTAAGCGACGCAATTTTATCTTGCATGTTATTTTCTTCTTCTTTTTTTGTTTGTATAAAAGCTATGATCATGCATGCATCTGGATGCTTTTGTGTGCAAAGAAAACTGTGGGGAAAAGTCATCAAAAGAGACGTCTTCTCATGCAGTAATTAGTTCTCACTCACGATGAATCCTTCATAAACTCAATGTTTGTGACAATGGTTGTGCGCCTTTATTATTTATTATTTTATTTTATTTTATTGCAAGCAGACAAAAGCCAAATCAAGCTGAGCCGCATGGGACTCGTTTGCAAGCCGGTGCCCAGAGGAAACAATTAGCCTGCAAACTTGCCAGCTTATTCACTGCGTTAGCAGGAGCACTCGTGGGGCTTTTTTTTTTTTTTTTTGTGGCCGTCTGTAAACAACTACGGGCATCGTCGGGTTTTAACAGCCCCCTCCCCAAACGATTCCGACAAGAATCACCCCGGTTCCGCAATATGATCTAATTCAACGTGTGTTGTATGAAAAGCTTTGTGTCTGTGTGCTTTCTCTCTTGTACTGGCCACAGAGCATCTGGCATCCCATTGATTGAGCGGCTTTTGATGAGGATCTCTCACACACACACAAAAAGCTAACTGCGACTCTTGTTCTCTCTTTTATTTTCCAGGTCTGATGGAAATCCGATCTGTCAGTGTGGGAGTTGTTGCCATCAAGTCTGTCAGCACCGGGTTGTACTTAGCTATGTCCAAGAAAGGCACGCTCTTCGGATCGGTGAGTACACAAGCTGCCAACCTTCGGAGGACGAGGTCAATCTCAGGAGACGTCCGAGATTTGTTTTAACTACGGTGTTGGTGCATCCTGAAAATGTCAGATTGTCGAAAATGAAGGCCATAATTATGCTGAAAAAGTGACTTATTTACTGAATCTCGAAGTTCTTAAAAATCCCAAAAGACATGGGAAACAACATTGTGAGAAAGATTTTGCATCCTAAGAAAAGTTGAATTCTATTTAGGGTGCAGCGTTACACAAGTGCACAGTAAAATTACCATCTATTTGAGTGGCGGCATGAAAATAATACGGAACAGGAAATATGGTACAGTATATTACAAAAAATGATGCAATTTGTGTTTTTCTGGGTGCAGGGTTCAAGTGACTCGACGCTACTGGCTAGCTTACTTTTCTTGCAACGAAAGCAACACTAAAACTAGCCTGGATGTTACTTTTTTACTTACAACGACTTGCTAGTTAGCTGACTAGCTAAGTTAATAGATTGACTGGATCATAGTCTCTAGTATGTAGTGAAAGAGCAGCTCGCTACGCTGAGTGAGAGTTGTTAGTATTCGATTTCAGTGATGGACAGGTCTTACGTTTGCTCAAAGAAGCCTTAAAAAGGTCGAATGTTACATGATCCAAAATGAGGGTGTTAAATCCTTACGAAAATAGAAGTTAAATAGCCTTTCTTACTTACCCTTTCCCTTACACTATTTATGCTAATTTACGCATTAGCTAAGGTAACAGCAGCGCAGTTGATTCAGTGGACATTTGATGAGGTCATGAAAGAGCAGCTCGTCATGCTGAATGAGAGCCGTTAGTGGTCGTGAATTTGATCAAAGTTGCCTGAACAAAGGTCTGACATTTTATGATCCAAAATGAAGGCCTTAAACCGGCTATTCATTTGAAAATAACATTGATTAGAGCAGAGAACACTATGAGAGGATTTTTTTTTCATCTATTACTTCAGATCTCCTTGTTTTGTTGAAGGAGAGGTGTTTAATTTGACCAAACTATTTGGAAAAAAATGTGTTCATTGTGTCTTGGCTAAACCTGTAGCTCCTCCGTTAGCTTCACCGTGAGCTCACAGTGCTCCTGTCCATCACGACTGTAACACCTGGGCTCTAGCAGCTTGTTTTACTATCAAAATACGTGGCAGACACAAGAAAGCCAAGCAGTGACAAAGAGCCACCTGGCTCCTTTAAAAGTCTTTGTGTGCCATCCCTTTTTTTGTGTGTGTGTGTGTGTGTGTGTGTGTGTGTGTGTGCGTATGTTGGACATCAAGCTTTTTAATGTTAAATCCCGCCTCTTTGTTTAAGATCAGGCCTGAGGTGTGCAGTCTACCTCCCCGAAAAAAAAAACGAGACGCCATCATCGAGCAATAAGGAGCACCTTCAACGTGCTACAAAGTGAAGCCGCAAAAACAACCCCCGCCGCATTTGTAACATCCGCGCATTATCGACACACAGCGCCTCATATAGATGAGAAGGTAGCAGTCGTATTATCTCTGTGTTGTATTATCTGATAAGAAGCGCTAAGCACCCATGAAAGAGTGGCGATGTTTTGCTCTCACAGCCTTCATATATCGGGTTCATCTTTACGCAAAAATTACAAAGCGCCACATTGAGTCATTGAGCTTGTTTAGTTTTACTCAAATACAAAAACTAGCAAAAAACATCTCGAAGTATCATCACTTACAAAAATAAACTGATAGATCACAAAGATCGATTTTATTATTTTCGGAGCATTTAAAGGTCACAAAGCGACAAAATAATCCAAATGTGCAAATAGAATCGTAGTAGCTTAGTTTTATAATACACAATGTTAAGGTTTTTTTTGTTTGTTTGTTTTGGGTCTTTTTTAGTCATGGAGTCATTAGTGTGACATACACACGTCTCATCCGCTCCGCACAGCTCTCCCGCAGGCAGAGATTGAGCTTTCGACAGAAGTTGAACGAGTGTAAAATATTTGGTGACAAGCAAGCTTGTTCTCAACTGGTTGCATTTAAGAAGCCTCACAGATCAATGGTGTCGTTTCTAGACAGAGAGAAGTCAAATGGCCCTTTTCCACTGCACTTTTTCTCGTGCTAGTTCCGGGCCAGTGCCCAAGTTAGCACCGGTTCTCTATTTTTCTTTCTTTCTTTATTTTTTAAATCAAAGCATTGCCAAGGTATTCTATCGGGACTCAATATCCGCAGACAGTAAAAGACTTGGGCTCGGGTGTCTAAAAAGCATGATCGGGACGTCCCTAATGGGGACAATGTAAAAATGTACCAAGTTCTTAACCTTGAAACGTTGATTTTCAAATGTGACACTGTTGCTAATTTATTAAATTGAATTCTTCCATTCAACCTACAACAGAATTTGTCCACGGTTCTCTGTTAGGCGGCATCACTCACGCCCGTCTTTCGTCCTTCCAGGTCAAGTACAACCCAAGCTGCAAGTTCAAGGAGCGCATCGAAGAAAACGGCTACAACACGTATGCCTCGCTACGCTGGAAGCACGGCGGCAGGCAGATGTTTGTCTCGCTGAACGGGCGAGGGAAGCCGCGGCGCGGCCATAAGGCCAGGCGAAGACACCCGTCCACTCACTTCTTGCCCATGCTGCCCTCCTAGCTCGCCTGGCATCAGAAGCAGCGAAGCGGACATCTTCCTTCGCCCACACTTATCCACCCATGTGTCACATATATATACATTTGATCAGATTTGTAACATTTATTTGTAGAGCTAGTTTGTGGTTTTAAGTTATTTCCCCCCCATGTTGAAAAAACTGACAGTAGAGTGGTACTTTCCTCAGGCGTGGATCTGTGAGTGAGTCAACAGGATTTCCTATTGTTGAACTGAAAAGCCTAGTTTTCCTTAAACTAAATATAATTACCAAAAAAAAAAAAAGTCTCACTGCTGCCTTGGATTTTGGACTACTTCAGAGACCTCAAACCCCAAAAGCCCATTGACACACAGGTGGACGGCTAGCCGGTTTTTAGATGAGTTGTATGTTGTGTGCATGCACGCCTCAAGCGTTGGTCACTGTATCTCGAATGCGTGCTCCTTCACTCGGTAATGTAACGTCAACTAACCCGTTACCACATTCGCCTACATTACATAGAGGCTGTAGGTGCACTTGCTAGTGACGTAGCAGCTACGGTTCCGTTCATGCATTCAATAAATGGTTCTTGCTAACATTTTTCTCCACGACAAGGTTAATAAAACATTTAATATATTCAAAATAGCATTATTGTGTCATCTTGTTCTGGTCATTCAGAATGGTACAATGGAACCACCGTGGTTGAATGAAATCTGTTACGCTAACGCGGGTCAACTTCTGAATTCAAACCCGTTTTCCATTAGAATAGACGAGGTCCTCCATTGACAATGTTGTCGCTATGTGTAGGTCAATGATTATGGACAAATTCTGGTTATAGAACTCGTCTGACAAACACCATATCTGCTGTCACACCTACTACACTAAACACGAGTCCCCTCACGACCACAACATTGTCGACAGTAAGTTGACACACCGCCGATAACAATAACCTTCTCTGAAGAGCCACATGCTGCTTCACTATGTCGTCAGATTCTGTCGATCAATCAAGTGACAGTGACGGTGCTTATTGCCGCCATTCCACTGTGGTTGGAACCCCAATAGAATGGGTGCTGGTATTCATTCGTAGTAGCTACACAAAAACAATTTTGAATTTATTGAATTAAGCCGTACTGTTTTTCATTGATTTTTTTTTAATACAAATATTATTTTTTATACAAATATATACTGACTTTACAATCATCCATCCATCCATTTTCCGATCCGCTTTATCCTCACAAGGGTGGCGGGGCGTGCTGGAGCCTATTCCAGCTGTCTTCGGGCAGTAGGCGGGGGACACCCTGAACCGGTTGCCAGCCAATCGCAGGGCACACAGAGACGAACAACCATCCACGCTCACACTCACACCCAGGGACAATATAGAGTGTTCAATTTGCCTGCCAAGCATGTTTTTGGAATGTGGGAGGAAGCCGGAGTACCCGGAGAAAACCCACGCAGGCCCAGGGAGAACATGCAAACTCCACACAGGAAGGCCAGAGCCGGGATCGAACCCACAACCTCTGCACTGTGAGGTCCACGCGCTAACCACTGGACCACCGGACCGTCGACTTTACGACCACATGATCGTAATTACTGATAGACTATTAAAAATGGCATTCAGGTTCACGTACTAGTCCAGGTGAGGATGGGAACTCCACTTTCCACATAGGACTCCCATTACAGAGTCAAACTGTCACCATCATAAAAGTCTGAAGTGACATTTTTCAATATTTAGCTGTCATGAAATTGTTATCATAAATTGAGCACTGCTGATATAAAAAAAAATCTCGGGGGTATCTGAATCAAAAGGAGTTGGATGGAAATTAAAGCATCAGGAGCACAGTTATTGCTGGGATACATTTCCGTCAGCACAGGGTGTCTATAAATATCTTAAGGGCGGTTGCTTTATCACGCAAACACACAAGAGAATGTGGACCTAAGTTATAAGCGGTTTTGTGTGGAATGGCAAGTTATTATGTTCCACCCACACACACAAAATGTTGAAATCCCAAATCTTTTGTCACCCATCTGTACGGTACATGTGGATCAAATTTACTAGCCAATCGACAAAATTTCTAGTACAAGTTCATCTTTGAATGACTTCTGGAAAAGGCAAAACTAAGTTCTTCAACTCAAAATGTCTGACTTGCTGTGTGGTGCCTCACCCCATGCCCACACTCGTAACGTAAAACACGCTTATCCCAAATTATCTTTCCTAATTGAAATGCATGGAATGCCATTTATTAATTCCACCCCTTCCCTCAATAATAACAAAACATTTTGGAATGGGATTTTAATAACAAATATAGCACACTATAATATTGTACTATTGTATAAAAACACAAAATAAAGACATATATTCAATAGAACGTAAATAAATTGTTTTTTCCACTTTTTTTTTTTGCTTCAATTTAATCCATTCCGGTGCGCATAGGACACACAGACAGGTACTGTTCAATGATGCATCTCAACTCCTCTCTCAGTTGCTCTACGCCAAGGATAAAAAATATATGACCGTGATATGTCTTTTTGTCTGTCTACGTGCTGCTGCACCTACTGTGTTCAATCTGTTGCTTAAAGAGTTAAAGGCATTGTAAACTGTTTTGAAGTGAGTTGAGTGCACAGTCACCACAGAGCACTCAGATCTGGCTCGCGGAGAAAAAAAAAGAAAAAAAGGCACCACTGTATCCCCTGCGGTGAACGAGGGTTCACCATATTGGTCAAATTGAGAATCGTACAAGCTCTGGGACATTGTACTTTGGAGGTTCCACTGTATTGTGAAAGGCGACAACAGCGTTTAAGCCTTTGTGCCTACTCACTGACAGTTAAGTGTTTGTAACATCTCCATCGGAGCCCTTTGCCAGAATCCCTCCTCCTCATTGCCATCATCATAATCATGACAAGAACCCCAGTGAGGCGGCGCTTATGATCGGCGCGGGGGGACATCAAGGTCATTTAGACACAGGCGAGCGCTCCAGTGGCACAGGAGGCCACTCTGTCTTTTCAGCGAGCAGAAAGGAGAGTCGGCGATGAATGGCGGCCGTTGGGAGGGTAAATAAAGGCCAAGCTTTCAGCGCGTCTTTATGCGAGACCACTGCAACGGGGGACACGTCTGGTCAAGAGGGCGTCGCATCATCGCACTGTACTTCAACCCGGCGGCAGCCAGATAACAGCATGGGGGGTCCGCTCCTACACTGGTATTCAGCTGTTCCTCTTTGCAAAATGCCCTCATGTCATTTTGCATTGGACGAATAACTACTATAGATTTGCGACATGGACCTCAAAACACCCCCTGAAACTGGTCGCAAAACAAAATTTTCCATTGGTATCACTTATATTCAACCTCGACTCATCCATCCAACCACCACCAACATTTTCAAAGAACGTTACGTTAAATAGACTGCGTCCTCGGTCCAAAATGGCGACCGGATTCATTTCTACAGTCAAATCTAAACATCAACGGAATCTGCTGGGTCAAAATAATTCACCCAACCTTGGATAAAAGTAACCCGACAATCTGCTCTTTCCTTTTACAGTTGTGCTGTGCTGTCTGCGGCTCAATAAATAAATAAAATAAAATACACTACTGAGAGTGGGATACAATGAGGAATAGCTAGGTTTGCTGACGGCTCCTGGTTGTTGAGACATGTCATCTGACAAGCTTTAAGGCGTTGGACTGTAAATGTTTGCAAGGGAAGTGAATGAGCAGGTGCATCCTCTTATGTGACATTCTGGCACTGAAGACTAAAACAGAGTCATGGTCGACTGGCCTACTCATCAGTGTCAAAGTGTCCTCCGTGTCCTCTAATGCCATAAGTGTGGGCTGTCATTATAATCATTGCTTCGAGAAGGACAGATCCCGATCAAAATGCGTAAAGCAATGAAAGTGGGTGGGAGGGGTGCAAAATCAACATGGAAGGTCCCCAAAGGAGCAGCAAAAAAAGATGGAAAGGACATCGGGAAGACGATGTGAAAAACATGAACGTCTGGGCTCTGCTTGATCAGACTGAAGCGGGCCCGAGTGTCAAGGGACCTCAGTGGAAACATCTGCAAAGTGCAGCACAATTCATCTCATTTAAAAAAAAAAAAAAAAAAGCTGGTTGTTTGAAAGTTCCCAAATGAGTTCCAAAGTCCTAATAGAAGAGGACGTTTGGAGAGTTTCGGCCGCAGTCCACAGAGGCCACAAGTCACGCTGTCCCAAGTGACAACAATCCGTAGCCTCTGGAACCTTTGAAACCCTGTGTGGTCATTTTCTCTCCCTGTGGCTGAAAAGAACTGTGGTGGGTGGGAAAGAAAGAAAGAGAGAAAGAAAGAAAAAACACAGCCCCTCAAACAGCACTCATAATACCAATCTTATGTATGTAGACGAAAACGGGGGTGGGGGGGGACAAGAGGGGGAAGACGGACGGGCGATGCACGATTTTTTTTTTCTTCCTCCAAGCGCTTATTGAATTGCCATTACAGCTCCTGAGACTAATTGTGACTGTTGTGTGTCTCTCGGTGGCCTAGGGGGCTCTGGAGTAGCCCTGTATGCTCTTACCCAGTGGGGTTTTCAGACCGAGTGGCCCTGGAAGAGAAAAGGACCACCGTAGATCAATGGCAAACCTTTCACTCTTTCACGGGCCCTGGCTAATCCCTCTCATTTGTCTGCCATTTGTTGAGGCACATTCACGACTCCCTGAATTTAGGATTAGGCCTTGTTTTGTTACAAAAACAGCCCAACTTAGAGCGATGAATGGGTTGACCAAAGAGCGGCTGATGGGCCAGGGTGTACGTGAGGTTGCCTTACGCATACAGTACGTGAGTGTCTGCACTAGCCGTAGTAAGAATTAGTTACACTTTTATGCAAATGGAGGCTAGTCGGCATCCAACATTGGGCTGGAGAAAGGACGTAATGCCACCTTGCGTCTCTGCCGTTACAGCTAGCGGCTAATCAGATTAGCATAGCAAAAAGAAAAACAGAGTGAGTGGAACCTCTCGTGAATTAACAGCATGTGTAAAGTCATTAAAAAAAATAACATCATTCAATCCATTTTCTAATAGGTATGCTTATGCTAGAAAGAAAAACGAAATGTTCCAAACAGCCTCCTCGAAGAGCAAAAATTGACTTTTAAGATTAAACAAAGATGCTTGAAATTGGTGACAGATGTGTGCTGACTCGGCAATTAACACGAGTTTGAATATGATTGCTTTATTCTGAGCACAGGCTCATCCCGTTATATGAGGGTGTACACACTAGTACGACCACATCATCGTGTTTGTTTATTTTATTTATTTATTTATTTTTAACAACTGAGCTGTACAAGTTACAAGTCAAATTAATGGTGGAGTGGTTTTGAACAGAAGGCTTTTGTCTTTTTATATGTACGGCGGATGGATGGATGGTAAATAAATAAGAGTGGTCCAACTCCAACAACAACTCTGGAGACATTGGACATGTTCCAACGTCCTGGTATGATTTAGATCTCAAAAGATCTGAAGTTAAGCCTAGCAGTCCGACTATCATTTCACACTAATTCCAACAAGTAAACACACAACGAGCCAGAAGAATCAGACTTGAAAGCACACTTTCATAAAGCCTGAACAAATGGATTCATCGCAGCAAAACACCTGCAGAGGAAATTTCACTGACTGGCGCAATCCTGTCTGAACCCGCGTTCGGACGATTCGCTATCGCCGAGCGGATTAGCCACGGCGTCTGAAGGCCTTAGACGGAGCTGGCGAGTGGCACACTCGCCATATTTCCCCTGAAGCGCTGCCACGGTATGCCGAAGGAATGCGGGTGGCGCGGGCCAATGGCACCCCGTGTCGGGGCATTCCCGGGATGCCTGCAGCCTTGCCAGACACCAGGGGGTGGAGGTGAGGACCGCTGTGTGAGTCGGAAGGGGATGAGAAGAAAAGGGGAGGCTTTGTACAGGAAATACTATTAGAAGAGCAAGATGTACTCCAAAATAAAAATGATTGGCCTTGTCTGAACTTCAACAGAGACACAGATGGACTGTACTAGACCCTGAAATTTGTCTCCTGTCAAACTAGAATAATGGCAGCACATTGGATAATGAGCCACATGCTGCTTCACCATATCTAAAGGCAAGGCATATTTTATTCCAGCGTGCGGGAGGCGTTCAGTTTCTGATTTGTTCAAGTGCGCACCATGAGGTCAGTGTGTTAGTCTCTGAAGAACACCAAAGTCACTGCAATTTGATCAACGAAAAAAACCACGATTGTGTTTGTTTTCTCTGAATGCCAACAAAAGCAGAGCGGCTCTGTGTTTTGTCATTATCTCACATCCCCACGCACTGAGAACTACTTTCTTGTCAAATATTTTCAGACTGAAGGCAAAATTTTCACATAATGTAAGCAAAACTGCTTTCTATTTCCTTAACTTTATTGGCTTACAGTATTGAAAAACTCACAAAACTAAGTGTCTTGCAGCATCCAGAATAAGACTTCTGAACTATAATTCGAAGGTGATTAAATGCTAACAGTTGGTAAGCTAACATAGCAAGATGAGTATTTAAGGCAGTTTGAAAAGGATTGTACTTTTGCCTTGTCGTCAGGTAGTCTTTCTTCATTAGATTTGAAAATATCATAACATTTAAGTTTGTATTTGCTAACAAATAGGAAGAAACATAAGCAGAGAGAGCATCAGGGCAAATTGACAAGCGTTCTACATTTTTGCCCTGAATTCTTTCAAATGATAATTTGACAAAATTCCAACCAGCATATACAGCAGCATGATAGCAACCTGGGTATGGAGACCACTATGGCAGATATTCTTCATATTATTCTGGATTGTGCTGATATTTGTCATTGAACAACGATCAAATGCTAACATGTTTACAAATTCTGGACAAGACAGCAACCTGAGCACATAAAAATGATAAGAGGGTTGGATTGAGCAAAATTTTGCCGTGTATTGAATTTAGGTACTACTGTATTTCAATTGAGAACAGAATAAACGCTAAACTATAGAAAGATATGTAGTGAAACTCATAGATCTTTTACAGCCCAAAACAATGTCAAATTGTAACGGAGCTCGATAAGAATTTACATTGTCCTGCCATCTATGGGAAAACGGCGCTCTCTAACGGCCATATATCATAATTATTTAAAAAAACGTGAGTAACTGTCGCTCTCAGCAGGGTATTGATTATAATTACTCCACACTCTGCCGAACTGACCAACTGATGAGCATGTGAGTATCTCTCACTACAAAAAAAAAATACAAATAATAATAAAAATTTAAAAACCGTCAAACACAAAAATGTTATAGGTGAAAAAAAAAAAACACATTTCATTTGGATACGCACGACAAATTGCCCCAGTATGGCTTCATTTTCTCAGTAAAAATCGTTTGCGGTGGTAATGACCTCAGACAGACAGATAGATATTATTGTGACAAGAACCCTTGAAAATTATTCTCCAGAAAAAGGAGGTCATTCCTAAATAGTAAATGGTAAAGCTGAAGGTGTGCGCTTCAATCAGAACTCGATGGCTCTAATTCAAACGTGCTGTACTGTAGAAAGACGAACTCAGATGTCAACTCCCAAATCTCCGCGGGCCAAATTGTACATAACAGCAAATGTTACATGATGTCTGTTTCACAACATGCTGTTGGTTGCGGTGCCACCTTTGAGCTCTGTGCCCTCTTGCAAGAGGAACTATGGTGAAAGGGAAACTTGCTAAAACTTTCAAACAACACCGCAGAAAGGTTGTACAATTTGGAGCCTGTTGCAGCAACGTTTTCTTCAGTACTGTAATAAAAACAATATGTTTATTCCCGCAATATAAAAAAAAATATCCTTAGCTACTGAGCCATTTGCTTCTTCACCAAGTCAAAAGATTAAGAGCTGAAACGTCTCACGAGAGTTTGAACTTTTGGGAGATATTTTTTATTGACAATTTTGTTTAAAATTTGGAATCAAAATTTTCCAGAGCTACAAGTGATCCGCTATTGTCTTTACACTTACACCGCCAATGTTATTTTGTACCTGCTCCAATACCAAAACCAATTCCAGTGAAGCTGGGACATTCTGAAATTGACTTTGTGGATCCCATTGACAAAATAAATTTCATGAAATGTAATCCCTCGTGTTTTTTTTACTTTTTGGGGGGGGGGGTGATTTGGCATGGAACAATGCTCAAGCTTTTACTTTTTGGAGGGGGTGATTTGGCATGGAACAATGCTCAAGCGTTCACGACGATAACTTCACAAGCTTATACCAAACAAGTGTCCCGTAAACATAAATCAGTCGGTCAGATTACAACAATACCGCAAACAAATCTGCGGCTTTGTCACTCCAAATTTTCATATTTCACGATACAATCATATGTAAACATCCGGACTGGACTTCTTAAGCAATGAACTTGACTTGACATGATAGAAATAAAGTACACAGTAGATACTGTATGTACATAGATTTTTTTTTTTTTAAATCAAGCTTACCGACCAAACAAAAACTTTTTCTTAGTTTTTTCAATTTCAAATTGCAGCCTTTGTGATTTGAAGATTGCATTGTGCTACAATAGCATTGTAGGAAATTGTTCAGCCCTCGGAGGCAATGCAGCATTTAGTATAGGTGGGACAGCAGTCACAATGACTGCATGATCTTTGATAAGCAGATGACTCTTTTGCTCTGTTAAATGTTGACAGTTTATCTGGTGCTTCTTTGTTGAATAAATGGCGAAACTCAGCTGTTTTTTTTTGTAACATTGCCAAATTTCCAAAAGCTTCACCATCATGTTGGCAAATGCACTGAAGCAACAACATACCACAACCTAGTTTCATGCACGCAATAATAAGAACAAGACTGGGAGGAAGATTGGCATTACAGCAAGTACGATGGCCATCATACTACTGCTGCTCCTCTTCGTTCTAAATGGTGAGCTACTTTGTCTTTTTGAAGCGAGCTGACAAATCTCCTTAAACAATGACAAAAGCGGCCTTTTCTGGGTTCTCAGGAGCTGATGGAACTCAGATTGTCGGAGGCGGAGATGCCCCGCCGCACTCTCGTCCGTACATGGCCTCGCTGCAGTTTCGAGGGCAGCATTTCTGCGGGGGGTCGCTGATCAGAGAAGACTTTGTCCTCACTGCAGCACATTGCAGGATAGCCCGGTAAGAAGTCACCAACGTTGATTTTTTTTTTTCTGATGTCAGAGTGAAACTACTTAAGTATTGTCTCTGTTTAATCATTTTTGTGGTAATAAATTCATACTTGTTGTCGTGTTACCATAAGTAAAGAACTATACTTCTTAATGTGATGGCACTACATTGGTTGCTGTTGAAGGTTTCATAAATTTGGTACCCAAGGCAAGATGATGATAATGTTTGTCACACAAACACAAAATAAATAAATAAATAAATAAAAAATAAAAAAATGGTACCACTTCTGTTTTATTGATTGATTTTATCGAGTGTTCCAGAACAATTACATGCATATAGACTTTATATAGCACTGCAGTGCTCAACAGCAAATTTTATTCCGAGATGGCTTTAAGTGTCACTTAATGTATTCTTGATGCGTTTTCATTTTTGTTTTTTAAGTGACCTATCAAATCTTGCACAATACGGATTGTAATTTTTAGCTTTGACGTTTCAGGAAAAAAAAAATCCACCTGTTGCCGAGTCTTAATTCTTAAATACTACTAATTATATTACATAGTCTATCATGATAACGTTATCCTTATTATGATGAAGGCTGATGCGCTAGAGAAAAAAAATAGGGGCATATTTGGAATCAAATAATCTTCAAAAGTTTCCACTCTCAATATAAAATTGTAAGATTTGCTGCCAGTATAATTAACGCGTGGCTGTCTAATCTGATTCAAGAATGTGAAGACCACTAGACAATTCAATGCAGGAGGAAACCAAAGTAACTGTAGGAACACTACGCAAGCACAATATGATGGGTTTTTTTTTCATGATCCAACCATCCATTTCTGACATGTAAAAGCTTTTCACGCAGTGGCCGCTACGGTGGATGACCATTCAAATGCTGTTTTCTTCGACAGGCAGAAGTCTTGATTACAAAGTTGCACATCAGCTAATGCAGAAGATGCTGCCACCTAGTGGCCAGAATGTCATAGTTGAAAGTGTTGAACATATTCAATAATTCAGTCTAGTCTTTTTTAGGATAATTGTTTCAGTGTTTTATGTTTTCCTGATGATATACTATTTGTAATGGCATGAATTAGAATGGCTTTCAATGTTTTTTTATACCATGACTGCTTAGCTGCACTAATTTTGACCAGTGGGAATATTTGACCTGATCTGAATGTCATCTGTTAAGAACCTTAATTTTGAATGAAATCTACATTAACGTTTCTTTTTTACAGTGCAATGACGGTGGTGCTGGGGATCGACTCCCTTGAAGGTAATGAGACCACCAAGCAGGTATTCACCACCATCAGAAACATCCCACATCCCAGCTACGACGGCCACCAAAACGACATCATGCTCCTTCAGGTGAGGACAGATATGTGTTAAAACACTCCACCTCTTTTTTTTCCGCTCCAAAAAGCCAAAGAAAAAGCAAAAGACGTGCTTTGAATCATCCTTTGACGAGGTCAGCCCTATTTCCTGTTTGATGTGTCTCAGCTCAACGGCAGCGCCACACTAACTGACGAAGTGCAGCTGATTGTTCCCAAAAGCGGGCGCCTGGGAAGACGCAGCAGGTGCATCACGGCCGGCTGGGGGGACATCGGTGATAACAACACCTTGCCAAATACTCTTCAGGAGGTCAACGTCACCCTGCTGTCACTACGTGCGTGTCGCCGACGATGGGGGAGAGTCCCCATCGTCAGCACCATGGTGTGCGGCACCGGGTCCCGTTTCTTTCAAGGCTTTTGCTCGGTAAGATCAGGGAACTACTATGATGTCTAAATCTGAACCTAATCAGAGTTGTGGTGTTGTTGGATGTGAAGATTAGAGTAAGCCAACAGCCTTATCTGATTCTGATGAACAGTACATAAATAAACACACTAAAGAGAACCCTAACTGCAGGTTGTGGGCCAAGCTCCAACACGAATACAAAAACTCACGAATAAGGCACACGCTCCCTATAAATGTTTACAATTGCTGATACAGGAAACCAAGCTCCAAGTTGCAGGTTTTAAATTTTGTACTACTAGCAGTTTATTTTAGGTCTAATTCCGCTGTCAGCCACTGCATGGTAGCACTTTATTGTTTTATAGTGTAAATTTGACAGAAGAAGAGTGACAAACAGGAAAAACTTCAAGCGCAGCTGAGTTTTTACTCAAGATTAATTTAATGTTAAAACCTCTGTAATCCTGCTTTTTACACTTACAGAGAGGGAAAGCTGTTGGTTCATTTGATAATGTTTTATAATTTCATAATTCTTGATGTATTTTGGAAAATGATAAGTCTGTTAGTTTGGCAAAATGCTGTCACAATGTTTGTACAATATTTTTGTCTAATCCATTGCTCTTGCTACATATATATACACATTTTTTTTAATGTCTTTGTATTTCAAAAGTGTTTTAAGACCTTAAAATGAGATGATCACTGCAAATGCTATAAAAACATACCTGGGGTTTATTTAATGAAATGTACTTGTCTTTGTGTGTGACATGTTCAGGGTGATTCAGGTGGCCCGTTGATTTGCAACGGCGAGGCCGCAGGCGTGGTATCGTTCTCCGGGCGACGATGCGGGAACCCCAGAACCCCCGACGTCTACACGCGCGTCTCGTCCTTCACCGACTGGATTTCCAGCGTTTTGAACAGCAATCCAGTGAATGAACATCGAGCTGTGTGACATCATCGCCCTCCAGTTACACATTTATGTGTTTGTGCTGAGGCACACTAATCAGTTACGTCTCAGTGTCACTGATTTTGCCGTTTAGTATTCATTCGGTATGCTTCGGACTGGCTATTTTACAGCTTGACTTTTTTCAACTTCTAAAAGCAAGCCGAGATAAAACGAAATTCAAAATAACAAATTCAGAATAGTTTATGTGTGCCCCCCTCCCCGCTTTTTTTTGCCTGCTTTATATTGGAACAATGAAGCAACCACTGGTCATTTCAGAGGAATCATTTTTTTAAATGTATATTTGAGATTTTTAAAAAATATATTAGACACTCTAAGTATTGTCTGCAAACAAGAGTTTTCAACCCCAGTTATTGATGATTAAATGTTGAAGGGGAATGTGATCAACAAATGCACACATACTGTAGGAGCTTTGAACCACTGAACTAGAGGATATTTTCAAGATTTTTCCAACTGTTTTTTGCCATGTAGTATGAGCGTAGCATTGTTCTTCCTTTAACCTGCCTCACAATAAATTTGTGTCTTATAAAAATTCCATACAGTATTCATAGTGTCTGTCTTTCTGTTTGTATGTTTGGTAACTTCGCATAAATTGGCAGTAGCTACTCCATACGCCAGAGGATTTTCAAAACAAATGTAGTTTTAATGCTTTATAGGGAGATTATTTTTGTCAGTTATAATTACTCATCATTTATCATTATTTTTTAGCAGATTTGGCATATCAAACTGCACAAGTCTCCCGAGCAAATCAGTACGCAATGATTGACGTTTACTGTGTATTATATTGGTAAATCATTTCTATAAAGGGGGTGTGAAAATGTTATTGAACAATAAATTAATTTATATTGGACAAAAAAAGATAGTATGACCATATGACTTAGTATTTGAAATTTCTTGAAATTATGACTTGTACCACATACTGTTGGGAGGTAGAATGAAGACTTATTTGTCTTACCTTCTAATTATGACTTAACACTAGTCTTTTTTACTTATGGAAAAAAAATCTTTGAATAAATTTGAGCATTTCAGTGGTTTTTATCAACGTGCTTGCCATTCAAGGGACAAATACATACACAACTCGGACCACACTAATTTTCTTAGGCCAAAATGCAAAATACTACTTACCTCGGATGCTGAGCAGGCCCACCGAAGTTGCCCGCCCTCATTTCCCAGCGTCTTTTGCGCGCACGCCAACGTCTTCTCCGGCTGTTCACGACCGAACGGCATGCTGGGAGTTGAAGTCCTTTTCCTCCATCTCCGGCTTTTCACGCGGCTTTCGCGAGATTTCCTTGAGTCTCGCTCCGTGTGGAGCAACATTTTCGTTGGAAGAAGAACCGAACAGATATGAAATCAGCGTGCAGGTGAAGGCAGACGTAAGGCTTGTCGGCTGTCAGTGGAACTTCTGAGAGGCGGATGTAGCTTCTAGCCGCCCCCACCCCTTGCCTCCCTGGAACGTCTGCATTGAGGTGGCGCTCGGACAAGCGAGGGAAACTGGTAATATGACACGACAGAATCAAACTATGACCTTATATGTTGGATGTAAGCGCGCACAGGTGTGTCGGCGCCTTCTGTAGCCTGCGTGACATCACGTTTGAGACAGACTTTTGTATCCCATTTGTACGACAGTGTCATTTTGCCAACACGAGTTGTCCTTCGACACGGCTGGCGTACCGAACAAGGGCTTGCCAATTCCAAATTGTTACTTAGGGGTGAGCTAACTGCTAGTTAGCCATGCCAGACGGCACACACGCCCACATATATGCACATTATCACTTCCATTGCGGGCGACGCAGTTTGGGCGACGTAAATACACAGGAAGTGGTTCCCAGGGACACAATGCTATTGGCTGAGGGGAGCTGTCCATCTCCGCGCGCTGGGATGACGTGAGCCGTTGGCGCAATTTGCCACATATGTTTTGGGAAATGTTCCACATGCTGTATGTCATATGCTGACTGTAACTAAAACAATGTTCTCGTTTCCTTTTAGCCCGTAGCCATCAGATTTGTGGAGGCATGTCAAAGAAAAGAGGCAGGTATGTTCATACTAAGATAATGTTAATGAGATTAGGTTTATATGGATCAGTTTATACTCCAAGGGTCATACTAAATGTACTGTATAACAATATTTGGTGCAGTGATCAGCCAAATGTTGCTTAATGTTCATGTTTTGGGGTTGAATCTTGTTTTTTTTCTTTAATACATTGTAACACCAGCATTGTCCTACTTATTTTGGACACTGGGTGGCAAGGCAGGAGAAGAGATGAAAAAAAATCTCTCACTCTCCTGCGTTTCAACAAATCAAACAACCTTTGGCAAGACACACCTAGGAGTTGCAGTTGTTTGCTCCACCTCCTGCTCAGTGTCAAGGTCATCTAAGAACAGACTGCTCTTGTTTTGGTTCTGAACTGGAGATCTGATTCTGCTGCTGCTTTGTATAGCGACGAGTGGGATACTTGTCCACCCTAAAACGTCAATTTTTTAAAATGAATACATATACCATTTATACAAACAGTATGAATTGCTTTGCATGGCTTTACCGACACTGATGTTTTGGGTTGAGCATCCATCCATTTTCTTATCCGCTTTATCCTCACAAGGGTCGCTCAAGGGGCGTGCTGGAGCCTATCCCAGCTGTCTTCGGGCAGTAGGCGGGGGAAACCCTGAACTGGCCAGCCAATCGCATGGTACACATAGACGAACAGCGATCCGCGCTCACACTCACACCAAGGGAAAATTTAGAGTGTTCAATCAGCGTGCAATGCATGTTTTTGGAATGTGGGAGGAAGCCGGAGTACCCGGAAAATAACCCACACAGGCACGGGGAGAACATGCAAACTCAACACAGGAAGGCCGGAGCTGGAATTGAACCCGGTACCTCTGCACTGCGAGGTCGACGCGCTAACCACTCGTCCACCGGGTCGCTTGGGTTTAGCATGTTCAGTAAATTAAAAAATAAAAAAAGGCAAACTGGCCTTTGCATCCTTATGCTGCCTTTAGAAGAAAAAGTTAGGACACATTAGCTCACGGCTCTGTGTACTGAAAACTGTGAGTTAACTTTTTACTTGATATATTAATGATGCACCACAATTCTGCACCAGTACAACCTACAATTAAGACAATTAAAAAAAAAAAAAAACTTCAAAAATTATCACCAATAATGCAAGCTGTATAATGTTGTGAAGTCTGACAGCATTCTTGTTATGAATGTTATCACAGTGTAAATAAAATAGTTCCTTCAGGGTCATACAATAACGCACTTGTATTTGGCAGGAAGCGAAGCAGCGGGGAGCTGAGCGACGCCGGGAGCCCTGACCCCAACTGCATCCTAGGGGTGCGCATTCAGCACAACTGGCGCGAGAAGGGCAACCAGAGCAAATGGAAGGGCACCGTGCTGGACAGACTCGGCGTCAACCCATCACTCTATATGGTGAAGTACGACGGCTTCGATTGCGTCTACGGCATCGAGCTGTTCAAGGATGAGCGCGTGTCAAACCTGCAGGTCCTCTCGGAAAGTGTCGGTACGTCCACAAAAAAAATAAATGTTTTTTTATGATGAATAAGTCGCCTTTTGGGGGCCCTTAACACGCCTGCTAATTCACCAGTTTTTGCAAGCACATGCATCCTATTGAAAATGCATTTTTTAATAAACAACCCCTTAAAATTTACTCAGTCACCCCCCCCGCTGAAAGTTAAAAAAACTTTAGCACCTGGCACCAGTTTTTCCAAAATTTCATGGACACATATCACAGCATGATGTCGAAAAAAGTAAACAGGTAAACGTCAAGGACATGGGTTGGTTGAATTCCAGGGGGAACTCAACCAACTCCTACCAAAGAATTGGCTCCTCATCAGAGGCCGGTATCCTACTATAAATAGGTGACACTTAATTTTTTTTTCTGCCTTCGGCGTCTAATGTGACTTATTGATTATTTCAAGGGTTTTACTTGGAATTATGAATGCAAGGGCCTGTTCACCACTACTGAATGCTTTAATTATTCTTCTTAATATTCTTATTACAGTGGTTGTGCCTCGAGTTGTACGTGATTTGGTGGAGTGTTCATCAAGTGAATCTTTGTGCGCAGTAAACAACAGGATCAAGATACCCCCGGGGGCTGAAGAGCTGGTGGGCAAAGCCGTGGAGCATCTCTTTGAAAAGGAGGACGGTGAGAAGAACGAGTGGCGAGGGATGGTGCTCTCCAGAGCGCCAATCATGACCAACTGGTATTATATCACCTATGAAAAGGACCCGGTTCTTTATATGTACCAACTATGGGACGATTACGCCGACGGGGACCTGAGGATTCTGCCCGAAGCGGGTACGTAACAGCGTGTCCTCAATGGCCATGTTAAATATGTATCAGGGCTGTCCATAAGAATGTGTGTCACGCTGCAGCATCTCGGGCTGAACGATTATGTAAAAATCGAATTGCCATTTTTTTCCCCCCCTAAAAATTGCGATTGCCATGATTTATGCGATTCTTTTTTTGCACAGTCCCTTTCATTTATCTTATATTTTTAACAAACAAGCAATTAATCTTTATGAATTAAAGAAAGATACTAGGATATTAAGGCAACTAATTATTAATATGAAAGAATTTATTTCTCAACGACAACATGTAGTCTTTTAAGTATCCACCATGACAACATAATTCTGCCACACAAGTATTTATTTTTTCTCATAATGCCACAGGCTATTAACTTTCGCATGCGCATACTCCATGGCATTATGGGAAAAAAAAAACAGAAATCTTTTTCTAATTATACCAGCACCAATATAATCAAAAATTAAATAAACATTGTTTTTCTTAATTTTATGGTTTTATTATGGCTGCAGTGCATGATTTATTTTTGGCTTTTGACTTTCGCATGCGCTTATCGTTGATTTTTTTCTCATACGTAACACATTTTGTAGCACATATTTTTTGCGACATCGCAGAATTTTGTGGTGACAAATTTTCAACAGTGACATGTTATTTCAGACTCACAGAGCAGTAAGTGAGAGCCCGGAGAAAAGTGCATCAAAGAATAGCATAAAGCTTTCAAATATACTGTCCAGACACAAATAAAATAATTATATGGCCACTACTTCACAGAATTTCATCTATCATCTGCTGAATGTAACCCCTGCGATAACCAGGGCACTACTCTGATTGTATGACTCGTTCGTCTTGACCGTGAGGACGGAAAAGAGTGACAAGTACTTCAACGTGTTTGACCAAAACGTCCCTGTCCTTCTATTTTGTTCAGAAAACAAGCACCTGTTGCCCGCTGACAGGAAGCCCGGGGAAGAGACTGAGAGCCTGGTGGGCAAACAGGTGGAGTACGTGACTGACAAAGGTGTGAAGAGGACCGGCCTGGTCATCTACCAGGTCCCCGCCAAGCCCTCTGTCTACTATATTAAATATGACGATGACTTTCACATCCACGTCTATGACCTGGTGAAAACCACTTAAGAGGAGGAAAGAGGGAGAGAGAGAGAGAGAGACGCAGTCCATCCCGCCCTTGCTCATCTTTCTAATCTCTTATTTAAAGCCATGGCAGAGTAGTCAACGCTTTCTAATTCATGTATGCTCTGTTTTTTTTTTCTTTGTATGTTTGCACAGCACAACTGTAGCGTTCATCCTACTTGCCGTCTTTGCATATTCCAAGTCAACGAGGCCATTTTTTTCAGTTTGCTGACACCAAGTTGGGATACAGCCCACTCCACATTGGCATTAAGTGGACTACCAGGGAATTAAATGCATTTGGGGGGGATTATACTTAAAAGTCGGAACGAGTGTAATATCGCACAAGTGCTTTACAAGACATTGAGTGTTTAGCCTCTAGTTGGCTATATAATAAAAGGTGTCATTATCGCAGGGTATCTGCTCCTTTAACTGCGGTGCATTCTTTGTACTGCTTGGATGAATTTTGCTTGCTTCCCAATGACACTGTACTCCACAAAAAAAAATCATCAAGTGCCTTCAGGCTCTTTTTTTTTCCTTTGGCACTATACTGTACATACAGCAGCGGTAGGGGAACCAAATACTAAAAACAATTACAACCTGGGACAAATGTGTAACCCTAACATGCTGATAATACATAATTAGCGGTTGTTTTCATAAGTAATAATATGGATAAAAGGTTCCCCGCGTGTGTCTTAGAGATCATCACGTCTGAAGGCTTCTAATTGTTTTGCATTCAAGTGTCTTCTCAATAGGCAACTTGCAAACAAGCTTGCAGTCAAGTGTGTCCTGGTGCTTGTGTTTGGCAGTGGAAAAAAAAACATGCAGGAAGAAAAACTTTCAATACAAAAATCATCAGTGGTCGTATAATCTCTGTTGATATTGTCGGGAGCACTTTATTGTACGTTTACATGATTAGCTTAGTCCCCACCTGCTCAATAATCGGCTTCAATTTACAGGCATGATGGTTTAAAAAAAATGCAGCACTTTCAGTATTTAATGTGTACAAGTTGTGTGAAATTGTCGTGAATATTTTATCCAAACAATAAACAGGTAGCTCACACCAACCCTGGTTCTAGTTGTGTGATTTTTCAACAAACTGTTCACCCAACTCATGAGAGTAGGAATTAGTAACATTAAAAAAAGAGATGGGATCGACACCCATTTTTTGCCTCCAATTTATCTGTGCACTTCCTCGAGCACCTGGGAACTCATTTTAGAATTTAGGGTATGTTATGTTTCTTTCAAGCATACAGCCTTTGACCTCTACATGTTCCTGTTTGTGTAAATATGAATGCAGATAATGATAAGTGGAACACGGGGCAGTTGCAGAACTTTTGATAACGTGAGGCTCATCTTATCTGAGGAATTTTAATTTCTATCACTGAAACTTGTAGAGGTAAGTAACAGACATCAGACACATTTTAAACTAGGTTCGCGGGCGTGCTGGAGCCTACTCCAGCTGACTTTGGGCAGTCGTCGGGGTGCACCCTAAACTGGGTGCCAACCAATCGCAGGGCACACGTTGACAATCAAGAACCATTCACACTCACAATCACGCCTAGGCCTATCGGAGGGCAAATCATTTTGAGTCCTTCAATTAACCGAAGATGAACGCTTTTGGAAAGTAGAAGCATGTCGATGAAATATCAGGCCAAAAAGTAAAAGATTTGTGGAAGAGAAACAATTTGTGCAGTTGGTTGTTTATTTTTTTTTAAAAATGTTATATTTCTAGCATTATGTACAATACCACAACCTACATCTCTTGAATTGAATAACTTGTTGGACGTTTCTTCTTTTGAAGAGAGGTGGGGGGGGCAGGGGGACCTTTGTCATATCAGGGGCCATTTTAGTCCTGCAAGTGGATGATATGATGACTTGAAAAATGTTTGATTAAACTTAGACCATTTGTGGGCTTTTTTTTTAAATAACGATTCCTCTGAGGTCTTATTTGCATTTATAACTCCATGGCTGTGTTCTCACTAGAAACACGTGGCCTTACCTGGCCTTCCCCACCTTTGCTCAACAGGCAACAACGCTCAAGGACATGTCAGTCAAGTGCAAAGTGATAAAGACTTTTTGATAACAATAATCTGCTTGCCTCCAGGGATGTTAGTGTTTCACTTGGCGAGGTCTTTAACGTATTGCAGGCCCCGGGTGGAATATTCGCTTGCTTTTCTGGGGGCCTCCGACAGAGCTGAAATGGACGTCCGCACCCCTTCAACAGAGTGAAACAAAATACAGCAGGTGACTTATTTGGAATGAACAAGAAAGGAAAAAGTCAAAGCATAATATATGATCATGACTGTACCTGAAATTTACCAGGCTGCTACATGCAATTATTAATTTTTTTTTTCCCCCAACAAGTCCACAATATTGGAAAACACTACACTGTCACTAGTCAAAGTATTGCTGCAACCAATAAGAATGATTTACGTTAGCATTTGTGTATGCAATTAATGTTGAAATAAGCACAATGGTCATCCAGGTTTTGAGTTTAATAACTGGTGTGTTTGTAAAAGCTTTTATGTGTCGTTGGTTGCATGAAGCACATTGCATTACCTTGTGTATGAAATGTCCTATTAAAAAAAATTAGTCTGCCTTGCGTTATCGTAAGAGTTTTGCTCATTGTTGGGAAAACAAATCATTTTATGTTATTGTTGCTCACCAGAATTCCAGGCCTGGACCGGGGAAAACTCAACCTTGGGCACTGCTGGAAGCTGAGCCTGAAGAGACAGTCAAATAGGTTACACTACATTCAAATTCCATTTTGTGGCATTCAAGTTCATATGTTCATGTAGATTCTCAGGTCATGGTATTCTGGAAAAGTTGCTTTGAGGTAACTGGACTATTCTCGGTTGTTGCCTTTACAGCAGCTTCCATACTTTTTGTTATTCTACTTTCTTCCTTTCATAAATTTGCTGCTGTAAATTGGGAATTTCTCCATTGTGAGATGAATAAAGGTTTTCTTATTCTTATTAATGAAGATGTTTCACCTTAACCCTAATAAGATGATATCCCACTGAGCGGTGAATCTTTGTGAGTACAGTATTTGCAAATGTAGTGAATGTTGATTTTTCTTGTCGCAGAGAAAAACTGTGACCGATAAAAGTTTTTGTTAATGTCAGTCTTAATTTGTCATCCAAGGGTTCACAGTTACGGATGGCTCATAATGAACTAGTTTGCGCAGTGGCAATATACGAAGTCACACGACAAATGTAGCAATGCCCAGTTCCTGCCATACTTAGTGCTTTGACATTGTATTAATATTTATGGCCTGGAAGTAGAGATGCCACAACAAGGCAGGCTACACGTTTGCCAAGGGCCCGAGCTGAAGGGTAGCCCGCAGAGAGTGATGTCATTAGCCCGTATCAATGACCAAACACAGTCAGGTTTGACTGTATTTCCTGTTTTTCATTTGTTTGACATCTATGGTCCACACATTTTTTCAAACAAATATTTATGGTAATTATGACTTGACTGAATCTGATGACATAGGCTAGACATCACGCTGAACAGGAAGGCACACTCATTTAGGAGCATAGTTACTGGTTTTGATTTGATCTTTGTTTTTAATTTATGGGTGAAAAGTGTTTTTCCAAAAAATAGTTACTGTAACTTTCCTGCTTTAATGTGGCCAAATGATCGACGTTACATCACTGCCGTAGGAATGAACTCCGTCGTAAGAGGCGAACCTCTGTATAGGCTTCCAGTTATTAGGTTGTTACGAATACCTCCAAGCCAAAGTACTTCATCCACTCCTCCATAGCGGGCGGTATGGCCGCTCTGGCCCGCTCCAGAGCCTCGAAGCCCTGCTTGCTGGTGCCCAGGAGTCCGGAGTCATGGGCGACGTAAAGAGCCCCTCCTGCAAGGGTCACCTTCGTGGCCAGTCTGGAAAATTACGTTCGAAGAAAGACGTAAGCACACTTTTCGACCAACACGTCACATTCGATTAAGTCATGTATTAGTAATGCAGCAAGACTTCAATGTGTCCTTAGCTTGTTTTTGCTAACTGTGGAATATTAGCTCATTCATTCAGGACGTTGGGAAACGTACAAAACAGAACATAGCAAGAATGTGTTGAACAGTACATGTATTGACTTCATTAAACTGACAGCCGACTACAGGAAGACAGCCCTAGCTTCGCCTGGTGAACTAGCTAGTTTGTTGTACGTTTCAATTTAGCTGACTCCTACAGCGGCAACAAAGTACTGCGCACAAGAAGAGAAGATTTACTTGATGACGGGGAAAATCTTTGCTGCCATGGTCCACAAAAGAACGCTTTTCTTTCAAACCAACGCTGATTCTTGGTTGACGAAGCGCCCCTAAAAACAGACTGAAGGACACACTGTTGTTTGCCCACAACAGTGTTTCAATAAAGTTTCCTTCAAAGACGAGTGGTGTACGGCATGTGTCGTAAATCATTTTACATTTTCAATTTCCATGTTTCTTTTTTTAACCTTACACAATGACACAAACTCTGCTATATTTAAAAACACGGTCGTTTAATAGATTTCGCAAATAAAATGACACACGATATTTTTTTCCATTTATTCTCACAATTTGCACTGCCGGACGATGAATATTTTCAGCATGGTACAATGTCATTCATTACACGAGTTGAGGAGAATGGAACGCAATCTGTATGTGTGGTCGTAATTTGTAACAAAAGCTCTCGCTGGCATCACAGACTTATGTATGATTTGTTGTATATCTAAGTCTGTGGTTGGCAGTCTATAGGGCACTCAAATGCTCATTTTTTTCGGTCACGTGACTGTGAGGTAGTGTACCATGTATGTTGCGGAATGGTTGGAGGGTTGTCAAATCATGCTAAGTTTGCTAACTGTAAAGTCAGTAGCTGATTAGCAAACATGCTGTAATTAAACAAATCGGTTACCTCAAGTTCATTTTGGTTAGATAGATCGATTGATCTTTATTTATATAGTGCTTTTACAACAGCTGTAGCTGTCACAAAGCACTTAACAGAACATCCATCCATTTTCTGATCCGCTTATCTGAGCAGTAGGCGGGGTACACCCTGAACTGTTTGCCAGGCAATCGCAGGGCACACATAGATGAACAACCATCCACACTCACACTCACACCTAGGGACAATTTAGAGTCTTCATTCAACATGCCACGCATGTTTTTAGAATGTGGGAATACCCAGAGAAAACCCACACAGGTACGGGGAGAACATGCAACCTCGACACAGGAAGGGTGGAGCCAAAATCAAAACCTGCACCTCTGCACTGTGAGCCTTTACAGAACATTAAAAATAAAATAACAGTAATAGGAACACTCTATATTGTCCTGAGGTGTGAGTGTGAACACGAATGGTTGTTTGTCTATGTGTGCCCTGCAAGTGGCTGACAACCAATAATCATCGACAATCATACAACGTATACGCAGATAGGAAATATGTAATAGCAAACATATTTGCTGAGACGAATAAGAAATGTGTAAAGATATTTTTGCTCTTTTTTTTCTATTGATATTGATCTTACCTGAGTCCATCTTGTTTTGATTGCAAAAATGAAAAATCTCCCCCACCCCCCAAAATTGCTTTTTTTCTATTGATAGAGATCTGACCTGAGAACATCTTTTTGCATTATTAAAAATGAACATCTCAACATGACGGTAGAGTAAGTTGTTAATTCTCAGTATTATAAATATAAAATGTTCAAGCCTTGATGAGAATTGAATGAACAATCGCTCAGAGCACATCCTGATTCTAATGTAATAAGGCATAATAGTAGAGTTATAAATTTTACAGTCACTAATAAAGTATAGTTTTGTGCTACAGTTTGTTTTACAATTGTACAAATGTTCGAGCCTTGAATGAACGGACCACGGGCACTTCCTGACTTTTGTTTCATAAAGCGTCATTTAGTTTGTCTGATTGGTTGTGCCGTAGTATTACGTAATCGGCCAACGCAGGCCCCTCGAGCTGATCTGACAGTCCGAGTACATCTGGTACCTACCCCTCATCAAGTTCTGCCACGCACTTGTGTTATGTCATAAAACGTTTTAACCTCATGCCAATGAAAAACCGACACAACAATACAAATATTTTTAAAACATAAAATCACTTCCAGTTTGATAGCTAGCTTCTTTTTTCCCCCAACTTTGACTTCCTTATTAGAAGCATGAGGACAGACATTAACATTATCTTAGCTGCGCAACACACACCCTTTTTGCACATGCCAAGAGGGGAGGGTTCACGTAAACACTGCCCTCGATTTGCGATTCACTTCTCATGCAAGGTACTTTGGTCAGCTGGGTGTTTTTTCTTGCCGACTTAATCTAAATTATAATTAGTTTACAACATGAAAACGTTGACCAAAGTGCTGCTCACGAGTGTCACCGTGGCTCTGCTCGCTGCCAAGTGGTACGCGCCCACCTTCAATGCGGGTAAGCCCTGAGCACTTAATATAAATAAATAATATTAATTAATGACTTTTTGTTTTTTACTCGAATGAATCGTGAGGGCTTTTAATCAATGCTATGTTATGAGTGATGCAATGTAATTTTCAGTGATGTACAGTATAAAACTACATTTTCTATTTACATATGAAGTATGATTTGGTGCTGGATATGAAAAAAAAACTTCAAATTGGACAGTATTTGAAACTTTTTCTGGTTCAAACGTTACAGGACACTACTAGAAATGGGATGCAATAGTGGATGTTGTAAAAAGTAAAGCAACACTCTCCTTAGTTGTGTTATGTAACTAAATGTGATCACGAATGTTCATGACAGTATTAAAGTTATTTTGTAGTGCATGATTCAATTGCTATTTTTTTACACTTCCCCACCCCAAAAATATACTTTATTACATAATTTACATTTTTAGTCTCATCACTTGATCATGTATGTTCTGAAAATCATTGTGCACTTATATATATTTTTTTATTCACAGACGTTTCCGTACAGATTATTTATGTGCACTCTGTATTCTATTCTATATTCAATTGAATCATGTCTGTAAATAACATACAGTAAGTGCAGAGTGATTTTCTGAACACACGTTATAATTCTATTTTTAATTCCCAATAGACAGGTTTGCCATGTTTTGACGAGTTGCAGGTCGACATATTATTTTGTTTGACAGTTCATTTGATAATTACCTGTAACAAGCTCAACGAATTGTGAATTACTGTGCTTGTCTGCAGCAATACAAGTGGGAGAGACAAAGTCGCAATTCACCATTCGCAGTAGGCACAAGTTTTAAATCAAAGCTGGAGATTGTGGCTTCCACAAATAAGTAAAGTTGATCTCTTTCCATCCGAATGAGGGGTCCATACATACGTGTTTGTTCTGGACACTTTTTTGGATTGTAAGATTTAACGCCTCGCAACGTTAGAAAAGGCATGTTGCATACTACGCATACAGTGCATACAGATATATAAGATAAGATAAGATAAGATAAGAAAACCTTTATTAGTCTCGCAATGGAGAAATCTATTTATGTTTAGAATTGTACATTTTCGTTCAACACACTTAAGGTTTATAAAATATATATCTTATGTTGGATATCGATCAGTTGTTGTTGTGGAGTTCCATTAAAAGTACACACATGTCAGAAATGTAGAATGGCAGCTGACTCTCACCATGCTAACCGCTATCTAACCTTGAGACGAACGTTAGGCAAAGTCAGTGCTGAAGTAAAGTAAAGTAAAGTAAGCCACGATGGCAACTGTTATATTCTGTACGCTAAAGTAAGCCACGATGGCAACTGTTATATTCTGTAAATTTTGACTCCTCATCATAGCACATAGGAGACTGGAAAATGTATAACATAGCTATTTTTATATTTTATAACTGTTTAGTGAAGAAGAAAGCGAAGAAGAAAAAAATGAAGAACAAAATGACTGGTCTGCACTGTCCTGTGCTATGTATATATTATTAACCATCAGGCCCATTAATGACAAAAGATGAATATTTTTGTATGATTGAGTGATATTATTAAATAGCGTACATTTATATACAGTAAAGTACAATAATGTATTGTGGTTGTTCCACCCTGAGCCCCTCCAGGAGCAATTACTGTACATCCTCTTCCTATAAATTCTGGGTAAAAGGAAGCCGCATAATACAAGTGGACACTCAACAGCATATTTGTGTTTGGAGACCAAGTTACCACTGCGTGACGTCAGCAAAACTTTAACGTTTTCCCCCGCGGAAGAGTTTGTGAAGAGTGGTACAAAGTTAGTGTGTCATCGTACATTATTTGACATGCTTGTGACTCAGACCATAACAGGATGTATTCAGATTGTGGCGTTCCGAGCATTTAAATGAAATCACAGGAGGTTGGAATGGGGACATGGAAGGGAACTAACAAAATTCGGTTTAGTGGTAGTCCTAGACCGCAAGAAAATACAGGGGCTCATTTAACTAGTCATTGATAGCCTGTGCTAATTAGAGATGAGAGCATCTACTTCATAAACAGATCAGTTTTTCTTCCAAGAAAAGGGACTGGCTTTGACTAATTCATTTTGAAAATGGCATCCAGAGAGAAGTATGGAAGGAAATGTACTTCTTTTTATGCAATCAGGCCAAAAAATAAAAAGATTAGCAAATAAAAAAGAAAAAAAAGATGGATTTGAAATGAAAGAAGATATACAGAAAATACTCTTATTTCATCCATCCCTTACCTGAATTGCTTAATCCTCACCAGGATCGCTGGCATGCCGAAGCCTATCCCAGCTGATACTGCACGAAGACCACTGGGATAGGCTGCACCACGTATGCGACTCTTGTGAGGAAAAGTGGATAAGAAAATGGGTGGATGGATAATTTTGAATCTTGAACCTCAGAAATGTTCGGCAGATGTGCTAACCATTTGTTGGCCGTGCTGCTCTTTTCCCTTAAATTAAAGAAAGAAATTTCAATCAATTAGTCTGCCAAGATTCTGTTTGCCAAGCTTCTCTGTACTTTGTTGTTACACGAAACAGCAGCACCTACCAAAACATGTATACAGCTTCTTAGTTCGCTGGTTGTGAAGATGATCTTAAATGTGGCGATGTCCTCATACTGTTGCTACCCCAACAAAAACGTATATTGTCTATTTTAGGACCCTTTTCAAAATTTGCACGATATTGAAAAGAAACATACTTCTTGACGGAAATGTGTTCTTGGATTTTCTTTCAGAATCTCTCCGAGGTGCCAAGGTCTTAGTGACCGGGGCTAGCACTGGTATTGGTGAAGAAATGGCCTATCACTATGCCAAATTTGGCGCCCAGATCGTCATTACGGCGAGGAGGGAGAAAGTATTACAGCAGGTTGGTCAAAGGGATTTTTTTTTTTTTAAAGGGACGATGAGTTGTGCGTCCGTCAACTGTTATTCTGTGGCCTTTAGGTGGTGGAAAAGTGCCTTAGCATGGGAGCTCAGAAGGCTCTTTACATAGCAGCAGACATGGCCAGTGACTCTGACCCGGAGAAGGTGGTAGATTTCGCTCTCGACCAGCTCGGAGGTTTGGACTACCTCGTTCTCAACCACATTGGACCAACCCCCTTCAGCATGTGGGAGGGGGATATGGAGCATGTCAGGTGGCTCATGAAGGTAATCTATGACATCGCAACAAGAAACTTTGCCTTGACGTAAGTTGGAGTAAGAGTGGTGATGATTTATGAAGCTTTAAGGGTGTGTATTAGGCCAAAAAAACAAGAATCATAATTATTTTGTTTGATATTGAAATCACAGTTACCAAACTGAATTATTCATCGATTTCAAAAGTTCGGATTTATTCAACTACTAAAACTCAATTTGAGCTGGAACAAAGAACTTTACGTATAACATGAAATAACAATAATACAATGACCAAGACGGTGAAAACAGTCAATTGAAACACAAATTAATGACACTAACACATGTACAGTAGATACCAGAAAACAATAGAACAGTGTCAGTCTCATGCTGGGTGAAAGAGCCAAACAATAAAAACGGGTCTTCAAACAAGTTTTAAAAATGGACAGGGCGGGGGATTTCCTAACATTTAATGGAAGGTCACTTCAGAGGAAAGGACCAGCGCTCCCTTCTGAGGCACCGCTTAATCCTCAGCACCAAACCCTTCATGCATAAATATTACTAAATATATATGATAATACATTACTGTTATAATCAGTTTTGTTACAAGTGAATTTGCAAGAAACATGAAGTCGACATACATGATGGCCTTCATGGGCTACATAAAATGCTATTATGTGCCAGTTCTGGCCCCAGGACCTTGCTTGAGTTTGACATCAGTGTGCTAGCTAAAATAAAAATAAAAAAAAACAAGGGCAGATTTGGAAGCAGTGCAAAAAAAAAAAAAAAAAAAAAAAAAAAAAGTAATCTCACACAGTTTACTTTGATCTCTGATTTAAAAAAAATAGTGAAAAAAATGTTGACCAGTCTTCTCTCAAAACATGTACAAAATATTTTGAAACAAATCTATGATTTCACTTTACAGAGACTTTATTAGCAGTTGTGAAATCCTCGTGTGTTTCTGTGGCCCTCCCAAAGGTCAACTTCTTCAGTTACGCTCAGATGACCTGGAAAGCCCTCCCCTCCCTTGAGCAAAGTAAAGGCTCAGTCGTAGTTGTTTCGTCTCTTTTAGGTAAGTTAGCAATCTCTCCGACATTTGACCTGAAATCACTTTTGTGACTTATTTTTTACAAGAGTATTGTTGATACCCCAACAGGTAAATTGACCAGTCCCTTCGTAGCTCCTTACATATCAACCAAATTTGCCTTGAATGGTTTCTTTGGGGCTCTGACTCATGAGCTGGCCATGAAGAACAGCAACGTATCCATCACGACGTGTACACTGGGCCTCATTGACACCGAATCAGCCATGGAGAAAGTCAAGTAAGTTTGCGGTGGCAGCGTGTTGACTGATGCCAGCACGTTATTATAGCTCAATGCTGAATGAAGCGCACCGTTTGCGGTTCAGATTAAAACTGGTCAATGTTCAGAGAGCAATGGTCCAAATTGACAGATGGGCAAGTTACAAAATTTTTCTCGTCCATCATTCATTATCCATCAAGCGACCTGGGCACCCGTCCGTCATCGTCAGCCTCTCATGTTTTCAATCTGAACCAAATGGTAATGGGGAGCGGGCCAGTCTATCATGTTATTTTAACCGTGCTTCCGTCATCCCTTCCGTCAGTAAATTTTACTGGTCCGCTAGTCCATCTATCGTCAGTCCGACAGCACCCCCTCAAGAAAAACATGTCATAGTCCAACACATGAAAAATCATACTTGATTAAAATGTCAAATGTTGTGCACTTTATATCAATGTGTCTGCATCATATGGTGGCTGCTCAAAGAGCTTTAAAAACACACACACACACACACACACACACACACACACACACACACACACACACACACACACACACACACACACACACACAAAATCATCTCTTTGTTGCATACTGCCACCTATTGTAGAAAAATAGTCAACTCAGTCTGTTAAAGCAACCCATCTGTGATAACAAACAAGCACACGCCGGGACAGGCGAGGTTGTGTCAATCATCAACAAAAAGGGTGTCCGAGAGTGACGGACTGAGAGGTCCGTCGGAACTTGACATGGGTTAGTGACGATTACACTGACGGACAAAAACCCACGACTATCCCAAACCCTCAATCAGACACCATTCCAGTAAATGAATGAATGTATATTCACGTTGGATCCACTGTGGTTAAATTCCCAGATTTTTTTTTTTTTTTTTGTGTTCTAGGGACGTCAGTCATGTACCAGCATACCCAGCCACCGAAGCGGCGTTGAACATCATCAAGACAGGAGCCACGAGACAGCGCGAGCTCTTCTATCCTTGGTATACTTACATCGTGACTGTTGCAAGAGACTTCTTCCCCGATGTCAGGGACTACTTCATACAAAAGTCCTACAGCTACACGCCATAAAATAAAAATGTCACATGTTAGGGCCACGACTGCCCTCATTTCCAGGAGTGGCTTCGGATTTTTGTCACATTTAAGATGTGTTACTGTTTTACCGTCTTTGCTATGGTGGATTCAACAAGACCAATTCATTGATCTTTTGAAATGTTTGCCTTGTTACTGCATTCCTCACACGCAAACAGATCATGCTTCGAAATATTGTGTGCACAAAGCGAGCTCTTGTTCCGCATCAAACTTTGCACACAGAGCCAGTGACAAAATTGCAGTTTGTTCTTCCAAACCTCAAACCAAGACAAATAATCTTAATCAAAAGCCATGGGGCGCGCTTTTTTTTTTTTGAATCTCAGTTTGTGCTGAAGTGGCATGTTGAGACATGTTGCCGTAGAGGCAAACTGGAAAAATACTTCGTAGGTTGTAAAGGGGTAGAACCTGCTTCTTGATACGGACTACAGAAATGGTGAAAGAGTCAAATAAAAAGATGCCAACAGAATTATACTCGCTTCTCATCTTTTATTCGTTACAATTTCTTCTGAAGCGAGCGTAGCAGGTTTAAGCAGTGATTAACAGGGTTCCTCAATTGAAAGTTAAAGAGGCTCAGATTTATATCACTAAGATCTAGAATTACAGTTCTGTTCTAAATGCTCTGCTGCTACCCACTGATGGTCAAATACATAAAAACCACAATTACAACACGCATTTCTTTCATGTCTCATGTCTTTTAAAGGTTCCTTACTCAGTGGGAGTTGTCTACGATGCAGGATTTACAAAGTCATTGGTTTCTTAAACGTGGGATACACGCATGGAATACACGCACGCACGCACATGTATTATCATCACTTTTGGTCACATTTCATAAAAATGTCAGTGTAGACCTGACAATAGTACATGAGTAAAATTATCTAAAACTTTTTTTTTTGCTAACAACTGCAAATAAGACTAGCATTTAAATTAATTTTATATGAGAAAGAACAAGTTTGAAATTTGCAAGGTTTTTTTTTTTTGCATACATACCCATTGAGATTGGAAGTCCATATTTTTTTTTTTTTGGCATGCTTCACTTTTTTCTTCCATTTTCCCCCCCAAAATTCCAAGTTATGCAATTCATCGTCATATTGTACTGTATTCGTTTTAGTGAAATAAAATGTATACCAGGTGGCGCTGTTGTCTCAGTTATTCATGTTCCGTCATAAATTGAACGGCATCTGAGCCTTAGAAGTTCGAAGATCACTTGGAAGTTCCAAAGTCACTTAGACGTTCCAATGTCACTTGAAAGTTACAAAATAACCTGCAAGTTCCAAGGTAACGTGGAACTTCCAAATTTTAGGAACGCAGCTTCCATGAAAACTTCCACATTCCAACTAAAACTAGGTATGCGTTTGATTGGGGTTAGCTTTGAGCTAGCGCCGTGAAATGTCATATCCTCATAAACTATAAGTACGGGTAGCGATGTCCCATACTGTATATGCAAAACTGGTGGCCCCACCTTGAAAGAGCTCGGCCTTTGTGAGTGTACCTTTTTAATCCACATGGGGGCAGTAGTACCAAGGCAGTGAAAGATTTTCAGCGGATTCAAGTTGACATTTCATTTTCAGTCATTTTTGTTTTCAGTTCAGGCAAAAATAAAAGCAACACAGTCAGTGTCACATTCCAACAACATATTACAATAACAAATGAGCAAATTGGTAACAAAAAGGGAAGTGCCTGAAAGGGAGTACGAAGAAAAGTTATTCAATTCCAGCTCATCTACCATTCAAATTGTTCATACTAACTACTCTACTACTACGATACAATAATAAGCAAGACCACAGAGCGGCACTACATTTTCTACAATTTCTAAGGCACTGTCCGTCACATACATCCCCCCCCCCCCACACACACACACACACACACACACACACACACAAATCATAATGTATTTCACGTTGATACAATAAAGAAAAACTGATTTATTTAACATCAAAGTTGTTCTCGTTTTAATTGTCAGAAAACCTCCCTAATTGTATCACTTCTCCCCTCCCCAGTTTCCTTTTTCTCCATCCCTGGATCCTTCAAATCTCTGCTCTGCTCTATTTTGTCATTCCAAAGCGGGCTACGGTTGTGACTGCAGACTTCCAGCAGAGTGAGGCTTTCTCACTAGGTTCCTTTTGTGTCTTTGATCGCTCCTTCCAAAGGCACCACAGGCATTCTGTGAAGCTGTTGGCTCGATCCGTCCTGGTGGTCTTTGCTTTATTGTCCTACATCCTTGCGGTTGTACCCTGCTGATAGAGACACCCCCCTCCCCCACACTCCCCATCAACTAGTCTCAGCAGCTAGCAGCTAATCTTCTAGTACTGTATGCCCGGAGAGAGCTGTCATTGCCAAAAACCAGAGAGACTGCAAAGCAAGGGTACGTATAGATTTGATGTTTTTGAAAGGTTATGTATTTCACGTTGATACAATAAAGAAAAACTGATTTATTTAACATCAAAGTTGTTCTCGTTTTAATTGTCAGAAAACCTCCCTAATTGTATCACTTCTCCCCTCCCCAGTTTCCTTTTTCTCCATCCCTGGATCCTTCAAATCTCTGCTCTGCTCTATTTTGTCATTCCAAAGCGGGCTACGGTTGTGACTGCAGACTTCCAGCAGAGTGAGGCTTTCTCACTAGGTTCCTTTTGTGTCTTTGATCGCTCCTTCCAAAGGCACCACAGGCATTCTGTGAAGCTGTTGGCTCGATCCGTCCTGGTGGTCTTTGCTTTATTGTCCTACATCCTTGCGGTTGTACCCTGCTGATAGAGACACCCCCCTCCCCCACACTCCCCATCAACTAGTCTCAGCAGCTAGCAGCTAATCTTCTAGTACTGTATGCCCGGAGAGAGCTGTCATTGCCAAAAACCAGAGAGACTGCAAAGCAAGGGTACGTATAGATTTGATGTTTTTGAAAGGTTTCACTCACTTGATGACATTGTCCAAATATAATTTTCCCAATTCGCATGTGGTCAGAGTCACGGCAATGATTTGTCCAAAATCGTATTTTAGAATTGATTTAGAATGGGAATAGTGTTCCCTCACTATATTGATGATTTTGTTGGGGCCCACACTCACACTTGAGCTGCTGTCAACCACAGCTCACGCTCACCCACTCATTCAGATTCCAACCTATGCAGGTATGTGTTGCCATGTCAGTCTAATCTACCCAGAGCCTTCAGAATCAGAAGTGCTAGCCTACCTCACCTTGACTATATTAGCAATGGGACTGTTTCAATCCAATTTCATATTTGCCTGACCCTGTTTTTCAGTCCATCTGATTGGTTGGTCAGCGCAAGTTTGACTGGCAAAACACATCAAAAGCAATCTGCACATATTAATGCTGCCAGGGTCCGGTAAGGGCCGCACAGAAGTGGACTCTCAAAACACAGGCTCAGATAAAATGTACACAACAAATAATTTAGTCAATAAATACTGATGTTGAACTGCTCCAGATGGTATGGTTGTGAGCTGTTTTGCTGTGTTGTCATATAGTATTGATGGTTGCGATAATTCTATGATTATGTGATAGGGGTGGTATAAAAAGGTGGATTATGGGTAAATCGCAGTAAAGATGCCACCGGTTCAAAAATGGTAAACAGCATCATCGCCAAGCACTCTCGAGTGAGAAAAACAAAGCCTGTTCTGCAGCAATATTGTGGTGGCTGTGACTGATGGGGGAGAGTTATCAAACACATGTTCTCTTTGTTCTTATCTTGACACGTTTGATGATTTGAGAGGATTGCGGAGATGGCATCATCCCTCTTCAGATGCTGGAAAAAAAAAGTATTGCTCCTTCTCTGTCACAAATATGGAGGGTGAAAGAGGGGTGGGGGTAAGAGAGCAGACACGGCCTCAGAGAACAGCCAGGAGCACCTGCAACAGATTAGTGTCCCTAATGGAAGGTGATAAATCCTCTCGCCCTTCTCCAGAATCTCCATCTCCTCCCTGCACAGACTGCTGGGGACAGGACGCGGAAATATCTTGGAATTGGGTTGTAGGATACTCATATTTACTCTCCGCCGTAAATAGAACTTGACTTGCTGCATGGATTTGTGTCCTACATGGCCGTCAACCATTTTTTTAAAAATTATTGCTCCCAACAGGCGCGGCTAAAGCTGGCCTTGTTACTGTCAGTGTTGGGCAAGTTACTTCCAAAATGTAACATATCATATATTACTACAATTTTCCAAGTCGCTCATCCTGTTCGGGGTCACAGTGAACTTGAGCCTATCCCAGCTGACCTCAGGTGAAAAGAAAAAAAAAACAGACTACACTGTAGACTGGTTGCCAGTCAATCATGAGACACTTAAAGAGACAGACAAGCATTCACACTCACACCGTCACTAGGTGGCAACTGAACACTTCACAAAAGTCAACCAATACACCATCAAGGGGTTGCTACGATAACACTGCGGTGCCTCTTGAGACACGAGTGACTCGACTTTTCATTTCTTGGGACACAGTGCTACAACCCTTTAACCGACGGATTGAACACAAATGGTGCAGCAACACATGCTAGACAGACAACATAACAGTACTCAGTCAGATATTATTTATCCTCGATGAAGAATGACTAATATTACTGTCGTACTGATGAGTTGAGAAGAATTGAGACGTGTCAATTAAGAACGTATCTGTCTGTCTGGTTATATTGCCCTCAGGTGGCGAAGGCGGGCACACCAAAAAGGCAATGGCTGTTCAACTAATGCGGTTTAATTATGACATTACAGTCGTTGATATAAATTACTATTTTATGGAGTGTTATTTTTTTCCTCATTAAATCATTTTGTTGTTGTTTTTGGGGGTAAGACCGAACCTGATTAATGGCATTAGTAAACATGGTTTTGCGAAGTCTTGCATTATGGACGCGGCAACAGATCTAATTACAATCAGATCAGAACGCACAACTGTATATAATTAAAAAAACAAATTATAATAATTGGCCCAAAATAAACAGACATTTATTAGCCATCTTTTACAAGTACACATGCCGAGGGACATCACAACCATTCAGTGGGTTGCTATTATGATCGGCGATCGATTTCATCCAGCAAAAGCTT